TGGATACCCTACCTTTCCATTTCTGGCCAGAGTGCCAGATATGGAATGGTAGAGTATGGCATATGGCAGTGTCTGAGGATTTGGGTGTACCAGTCCCAGAGGCTCCAAAGGCTGGTCTATACGCAGTCATTTCCAGATGACTGCTCTCAGACCGTACGACCGCAAATAGCGTAGTCTAACCGCAGTTTTGGTGGTCATTTCTAGTAACCGATTCTCGAAGGAATGTCCGATGAATTTCGACATCGTTCTTTCGCCCAGCCCACATCAATCCAGACCCAACCGCTGCCTTTTATCAAGCCTCCACGCATCTTTGCACACTCGGCTGACTCTTGGCTGCACACACAGTGGGCGAGATCGGTGGATACCGGTGGCCATGTTGGTATTTAATCTTCATGATCTATGTTCATGTCCCACCCACTGGGTCCCAAGTGGCTAATCGCAGTAGCCACCTGCAAAGAACCCTAAGTTCCATGAGATCACCTCTATGGACTTTTTGACACAAACGCTTACTAAGACCTATGTGGTCTTCATCGCAAAAGCAATGGTAAAACCGACAATTAATTCCATGCCGCAAGTGGTCCTCGGCAATGTGTATGAACGCGTGTAGTTTTGGCTGCAAGCGCCACCGACTCTTGTTGGCACGAAGCGCTACGACAGCCAGCCGCTCCAGCGCGAACACAAACTTCATTGCAAGCCCATGTAGCTCCACTTGGGCGTCCCGGTCAAGGAATCGTGGTGAGCGTTCCACCAAATCAAACCAAGAGCGCAAAGCCCGAGCCGCAACACAAGCATTAACGATCTCGGCAGTTCGGGTCAAGTCTTCCAAGCTGTGGAGGCACGAGTCCACGAAGATAAGAAGGAGGCGACCATTGAATGCCTTAACACATAGTGTTGGATACCCATCTGCTGTGTTCAACAGCCCAGGGTGCATGAAGGCCTGTGAATGCCTGAGCAGATTTCCAGACAAGAAGACACCCCTTAAACTTCCATAGCAGCTCCCACACGAAATACAAAATTTGTTAGTAATCCTCGAGCTAGATACTGATGCTGGTTCACTCTCGCCCATAATCGAAACCGTGCCGACATTTCACGGAAGCAGTCATCTGAATTTCCATCCCCAAAGAATCCTGGGCGACCATCCCAAATCAAACTTATTGTGGGCCATGAGGAGATTGCTGCAGGACACATTCTGGGCGCCAATACTAGAAAAATGTGTTGAATAATGAAGTACGAAAGTTCGATGCTCCATGAGAAGACTCACGCAGCTTCCAAGGAAATTCTGTAGTATTCCCAAATTAACTGTATGCGTCGAACACCATCTTATCAGGCTAGGTGAAAATGCAGGGGCGGATAGCAAAGGATGATGGTACCTGTGGGGACCATAGACATGATCGATATCAGTTCAATACTTATGGCTCTGGCCAAAACAAATTTAACAATAACTGTACGTTTGTTCACTCTGGCCTGAAACAATTTGCAATGGCGTTGCTGGTGCTTCTCCGTGCAAATGTTCTCCCAAATCGTGTCCACCTGAAAGGCTGAAGTGAGGTAACCCAACCCAACAAACAAGGGAGGGCAGAAACTACATACACCATGTGGCCATGTGGGCAGACACTGTTGGCTTCAGGCAAAAGACAAGAGACCTGCCCAGAGGATGCCCTGCTCTTTTTGCATTGCACTGGTGGCAGAAGTTTGAAGCACCCCAGTGGCAGGAAAGTGCAAAGGCTTCCCTCTGCCATTTCCAGTCCCCGCGGTATTCGATGCAAAATGCAATTCCGCCTGAGGAATGCAGCGAATGGCTCGGCAGGGGGCCCCATCTTGTGTTGTTTTGAACACAGGGGTTGCGTGCCAAAAACCCAACATGCAGATGGTCATATTGCTCACAGTACTGCGCCTGCTATTGGCTTCCCAGCATTTTTCGAGTTCAAAGCAGGCAAAGGATTGCCCTCAAAATCCTCCGTGGGGTGGATGCCAGAAGCTAAAACCTAGGCTGCGACAGGGTGACACCAGTGGACACCACTAGGTTGGGCCCATTGTTTAAACACAACGCTATCTTGAACAATATATATCACAAGTTGGGTTTGATTGAAGATGTGAAGCGCGAAGGCTCCATGCAATGACCTGGTAAACCCGCTTGAGAGTATAGTCTGGCGCAACCAATGCACAGCGCATGATCAGGACCGGAAACCGTGCAAGGTCTAGTCCTTGGGATGTAGTTTAACACAAAGTGGCAAACAGAAAGGGTTTTGCTCACAAATAGGAAGGGGGTTTTGCCTCCTCCAACAGTAGAAGATTAAAAAGGGGACAGTGAGATAGAAAACTTATATACATGTATAAAATATTCAAACGAACACTAGTATGACAACTCCTAGACGCTGTGTTTGAATACCGGCTCAAAACAAGAAAGCTGAAACGCCTGTACGTAGTGCATACCGCTTTAAATATGCCCTGTCAAGACTCGACCTGGCTCCTGAAGTATGGCATTCCAACAAATGTTGATGAATTTCTCTCCGGACTTGGTGTACTTGGCGTCGTCGCCATAGAGTCCTATGACATTGGCCCCCCACCTTCCAGGGTGTTCTGGGTCCAGCCAACCGCGCCGTGTGGTTTCCCTCCAAAACTCCGCCAACCTTGCAGTGTCCACTTGTAGTTTCCCACTTTCCTTATTGGCGGAGCAAGTGGGACGTGTCCACAGGAGTTAGTTGACATGTGCCTACTGTAGTACTGCAAACAAGTTCAAAAAAAGATGACTATAGCATTACAAGATTCGAACAGATAATGGTACACTTCGTGTGGGAGCAATAGGGGAACTCGTTTCAAAATGATATCCCGACGGTTCTTTTGGCACCGTGCTGGCACTTCTATATAGAATGGAGGGACCGGAAGCCTCAACGTCCGATAAAGGTCCCGCTCAAGATTCCCTGGATGGCGTCCTCCCCCACCAAGCCGTGCTAGCTTTTGGGTGAGCTCCGACATCGAGCCCCCATGGGCCTGACCAGGATAAAATTAATGAAAAGTCTTCTTGGCCTTAGACCAAAATCAATTGAAGGGGTGAAAGATTTCTTTATGCCCGGAGCCAGCCCTGGCCTTGGCTTCCCTCACCGAGGCAGCGGCACTTTGCTGAAGCTCCAAGCATGATGTCGCCTGGCAACACTAGCCGTGGATGGGCGCGGCGTGGGAGTGCGAGGTACAGTTATTTGCTTACAAAGATGGGTTGCTTTCAATAAACCCCTCAAGTTCAGGATGCCAGGGAGTGCTTCCAAGTGACGCCACGACCAAGTGAACAAAGAAGATGGTCTGCCAGGGAGTGATCACCTGCGGGCGGTCAGATATGAACAGGATCCCAAAGCTGTCTACACGCGAAAGCGCCAACGCATGCACATGGGTCTTTTCACCATCGCTTCACATCCAGCATTCCCGCGCTATCCTGCACTGTATTGTGATCTGAAGCGATCAAACACTCAAGCGGCAGAAAGCAGAACACCAAAACTTACGAGCGCAAAAAGACAGTGTCTTTGAAGTTGCATTAAGTTTCCACTTGAGTGGCTCCCCATGACGCGCAGAAATCGCACAGGGTCTAAGGTGGACTCCTACAAAACCTTTGA